CCCTTTTCACTGAAATATATTGCTCAGTTCAGTTTTAAGAAATTTTTTTGTTTTATGTGGTTTTAGTCTTTCGAGACTAAAAATCCTATTCCCATCGGCATGGGGGTGGGGGACAAAGTTTTGCAAGAGCCAAGCCACTGCTGGCAGAGAGAAGAGAAGGAAGGCCAGTAATCTTGTCTCTGGTGTATCATTCTGCGTGGCGACAGATGTGTTCCTGGAAAATGGTCAAAGGTTAGGAAACCAAGTAGTAAAGAAATCAAATGAAATGTCAAACCAAGGGCATGATGTGGTGGAAGGGGAGAGGCAAGGAGACCCACGACACGCAGCCGCTCAGTTCTAGTGTGGCCCGTGGACAAAGGCAGAGGAAGGAATTACAAGATTGAGCCCTGAAGGATGTCATTATACCCTGGTAATTTTATGCTAGTTGGGAGGAAATCCCATGCAACATGTAATTTGAGTCTCTGAATTTCTCTGGAGGTTAAAAACTGAAAGTATAGTTCTTTCCCCAACCTGTGCACCTTCGAGCGTGTTCTCTGCATCTGTCTCTCTTGCTCTCTGCAATCTTCCTTCCTTGCTTCCCCACCTGCCAATTTTGACTGCTCTTAATGGCTTTAATGTATTATGCAGTAAACTATAGCTGGGCAGGTTTTTGCTCCAGATGGTTCTGTGTAGCGACAGCAAAGCACTTGTTGGCTAAGCCAATTAGGTCAAAGCAGCTTATTGCATTAACCCTTTGAATGCTCAGTGTGTTGCATCCACTTCTCAGGTAAACAAAAGTATCGGCAGAGCGGAATTAACTGGCTTGAACTGACGAGGTTGCTGGCAAAGAAAATTATTCCAGGGTATTTTCCAAGGCTGATCTATGAAATGAAAAAGAGAAAAGCAGCACAGTTACCTTCCCACTGAGAATATGAGAACGACATACATTCACCAGCAACTACCTAGTGTCTTAGTCAGCCAGTGCTGCTGTAACAGAAATCCCGCAAGTGGATGGCTTTAACAAACAGAAATTTATTTTCTCACAGTTTAGGAGGCTGAAAGTCCGAATTCAGGGTGCCAGCTCTAGGGGAAGGCTGTTTTTCTCTCTGTCAGCTCTGGCGAAAGGGCCTTATCTTTTCAGCTTGTTTCCTGGTTCCTTGGAGATTGCCATGTGGCTTGGCATCTCTCTTCACCATCTCTGCTTGCTAGCTTTCATTGGATCTCTTCTATATCTCAAAAGAGATTGACTCAAAATACACCTTACACTTATCCTGTCTCATTAACATAGCAAAGACAACCCATTCCTAAACGGATTATAACCAGGGGCAAAGAGGTTAGGATTGGCAACACATATTTGGAGGGGACACAACTCAAATCCATAATACCTAGTGAATGACACAATGCTTCTAAATGTTTCATTCCTTTGGCACTTAGTACAGTTTTTTTCGTTTGTTTTTGCTTTTGAAAACTTGCCATCCATGCCCCTGTAGTTAAACGATGGCCCTTGTAATTCACGCAGACACTAGCCTGGCTGGCGGTTTTACTGTGACTGGAGACCAGAGAAGAGAGTGAGTCTCTCTCAAGGCTGACCTGTGTTCCCAGAACAAGATTATGGAGAACAAAAAAGCAGAATGTCACTTCTTTTCCCTAAATCTTGCAGTTGAGGAAGGAAATGGTGTGGGGCACCAGCAAGGTCTCATGGTGAGCCTTTTGTAGCAGAATGCAGTGTGGGCCACTACAGACTGCATGGGAGCCCTAAAAAAAGGTGATGTCACAGGGAGACCTCACAGGGTGTCAGAGTTTGGAGAAGAAACAATAACAGGAAGAAAGTGAGGAAAACAAAATGCCAGCGTGATTACAAACCCAGGCCTAGAATCTGCAGACTAGGGTTCTAGCCGTTTATTAATTAGGTGACACAGACACATGTCTTCACTGCTCAGACTGAGTTTCCTCATCTGTAAAATGGGTATAATGGAACCTACAACCCCCTTCCCCAGATTATTGTAGGAGAAAATGAGATGAAGTACGTAAGGGGATTTAGCATGTGGAATGTTCCAGATATTACAAAATAGGTTGGGAAGAGGGTCGGGACAAATTGTGAGGCTACTGAATGCCAGATTTGGGGGTTGGGACTTTTTTCTGCTTAGGTAGGGAGCCTGTAAGGGTTTTAAGAAACCTACAACATAAAAAGATCCTCCTTTGAGGAGAAGACTCTGGAGGGAGAGGGTTATGTTGACAATGTCATGGGGTAAAGAAACACTGACCAGTTAGGAGGCTACAGCCATATTCCAGGAGCGGTCGATGGCTGAGCCTAGAGCACAGGCTGAGAAGAATCTGAACACTGGGCAGATGTTCAGAAGGAGAAGAATTGTCAGAATCTGGCAGCTGGTGGTGATTAGGCATGAAGGAAAGGGAGAAAAGGAACCCGAATTTCTTGCTTTGCTAACTGGACCGTGATTTCTAAATTTGGGTATATGTATCCTATGGAGCTGTTTTACTCTGTCTTATAGGGTCACTGTGAGCCGGAATCAACTCCACGGCAGTGGGTTATCCTGAGGGTGCAGAAAGAAAACATTCGAACTTTTAAAAATACTGACTTTCGTATTATCCTTTCTCATCTCTATTTTTGTGTATGTTTTATAATGTATGTAAGTGTATGTGTGTGTGTGTGTGTGTGTGTGTGCATATTTTGCCAGGGGGTACTTAAATATTTTTCTCTGATGGATAGAACGATCCAGAATGCTTGGGAAGCATGAGAATGAATGAAAGCAACGCCGTTAGTCAGACTGAGGGGCAGGAGGAAAGCTCTGTGCCCAGTACGTGATACAGTCTCCCTTCCTACCCATCGGTCTTCTCCACGCTGGGGTGGATACATATTTGCTTAACGACCTTAAATATTTTTCTAGAGCAAGGTGAATGTATAAATAGATATGTAATGCTTATAGGTGTATATTTAATTGGTATAAATATATAATAGATAAATGTATATTATGCAAATGTATGTATGTATTTTTTAATTGAAATTTTAGCTTCAGAGCACCAAACCTGTATAAGGAACACAAAACTATGTAGAGCAGAGGTCCTCAAACCTTAGCGCACATCACGGTCACCAGGGAAACTTGTCCAAATGCAGATTCTTAGGCCCTAGAGTGGACAGTCTGTCTTCCTCCATTTGGAATGGGGCCCAAAAATTTACATTTTAAGAAACTCTCCAGATGTTTCTGATGCAGGTAGTCCATTGTTCACACTTTGAAAAACACTATATTTAAAGATTAGACATACACACTATGGTACGAAGGCAGTGGTTTATTCCTGCTACGTTCTCAATATGCATCCTAACTATTCATTAACTGAGTGCGTACTATCTGCCAAGCACTGTTCTGATAGACACACACATACACTCTATAAGCTATATGTGTGTGTGTATGTACATATATACAGTAAAACCTGCGAAAGCCCAAACCCGTGTAAGGCGGAAACCTGTCAGAGAAGGAAAACTTACTAGATGTTTTGATGTTTATGAGGTAGGATTCTTAACAGAGAGCGATAGAAAAGTGGTAAGCACCCTGTCAAAGGCGGAAAAGTTTCGAGACCTGGAAAAATAAGGCAGTCCTGTTGAGTTCCGGCTCTCACAAGTTTCACTGGATATGTATACATATACACACACACTGTATATTTATATATATACACACATTATAATAAATATATATATCCACACACACACACATATGTATGTATATATACTCCCCCCTCCACACACACCAATACGTGGGGGCATTGGTGGGTCAGTGGTAGAATTCTCACCTTCCATCCAGGGAACCTAGATTCGATTCCCATCCAATGCACCTCAGGCACAGCCCTCACCCATCTGTCAGTGGAGGGTTGTGTGTTGCTATGATGCTGAACAGGTTTCAGTGGAGCTTTCAGACTAAGACAGACTAGGAAGAAAGGCCTGCCTATCTACTTCCAAAAATCAACCAATGAAAACCCTATGGGTCACAATGGTTCAGTCTGCGGTCACTCATGGGGATGGTGCAGAACTGGGCAGCATTTTGTTCCCTTGTGCATGGGGTCGCCATGAGTCATTGCCGACTCAATGACAGCTAATGATATATATGTATATACATACATACATATATAAAAATCCCAGAATCAAACCCCTTGCTGTCGATTCCAACTCATAGCAACCTATAGGATGGAGTAGAACTGCCCCATAGGGTTTCCGAGGCTGTCGTCTTTACAGAAGCAGAGGTCAGCAGTTCAAACTCACCAGCTGATCTGTCAGAAAAAAGATGCGGCAGTCTGCTTCCTTAAAGATTTACAGCCCTGGAAACCCTATAGGGAAGTTCTACTCTGTTCTATAAGGTTGCTATGAGTCAGAATCGACTCAGCGGTGATGGGTTTTGGCTCAATTTTTTGGCTCTCGTCCTCATTTTGCAGTAAAGGTATTGAGGCACAGAGGTGACATGAGGTGCCCAGGTCTCACAACTGTCTGTCTGCACAGCTTGTTCCCTTAACCACTGTACTTCACTGCCTCCTTGGCAATAACCAGTTTGCTCTGCAGCTGCCTGGCAGAGCCATTTTCTTATCTGTAAGATGAAGCTAATGCCCGCCATCTCTCTCACTGAAGAGTTACAGCCACGTTAGATACTGTGCAGTCTAAGTGCTTTCTGCCAGTTATAAAAGACAGGCTCTGTCCGTTCCCAGCGTGCAGATGCCACGCCTCCTGTCCTGAGGACAAATGGGTCAGCTGACCACCAATAAAGGGAGGTGTGAAATGTGCTTTGTTAATGGGGCATGGTGCTTGTACCTTTACAATGAAATGTTGCATATATTTATCTTACTGGAAGAAAGATGACGTAGGGTTATCAATTTACCTGATGCATCTGTTTGGAATTATGCTGTTTGAAATAACGGGCAGTGATAAAATGAAAGGACTTTTTCTGTTTATGAATACATACTGGGGTCTGGTGGATTCATTCGCTCTCATGAGGTGCCTCTCCTCTGCATTGTGTGTTCAGGGAAAGTGGCCATTCGGAAGGAGGACTTGCAGAAGTATCATAACAGAGACACCTGGTTCCAGCTGCAGCACGTGGACGCCGACTCAGAAGTGCAGGTGAGACCCCCTCTGCCAACCAGCAGTGCCAGAGCGCTGGGAACAAAAGTCCTTGGAGGACATCGGAGGTCTTTGGGAATGGAACACAGCCTCTGTTTGCGGCTGAAGAAATAGTCACGTGTGTGTTTTGGTCTTAACAGGGAATGATGTTTAGCAAATTTGTGTGTTCACCTGTTTACACTAAATACAGGCTCACTAGCTTTCGCTGTTCCTTTAGTTAGGGCCTCACTTTGTGAGGCGTGATAGCCGCAGCTTTAAAGTATGTAAAATGAGAAAGGGTGATGACACATAATTGAAGGTAAAGAAAAAATATGGGTAAAGAAAAAGCTGTGGGGTAGGATTAGTACACAAAGCTTTATACCCTGTATATTTGCTAGAGGTGGGCTGCGTATTTGTTTCTAGGCTTCCTGGCATTCAAAGCAAAGAAAGACGTAGAGCTGTAAGAATTAGCCCGTCTAAACAAAGAATGGGCTTGTCTGAAATCATCCCTGGGGACTCACTCTGGCTTGCCTGGACAATGCGCCAAATTGGGACTTATTTCCCCACACCTTGTCCAGTGGAAGGAGCTTTCTTCCACAAGCCTCCCCATCCCCTCACCCCGGCTCAGCTTCCCACAGGACTAGGGATTTCTTCCCCTAGCAGGGGAGACTGCAGCTTCCACAGGCCCTGAGGTCTCCAGGTTCTGAGTAGCTGGCACTGTGAGACCCCTCCTATGAGCAGCTGGTACACAAAGCCACAGTGCTGGGCATCGGGGAGGCTGTGTGGCCCTTCACTGCTGAGGTTACTCTCGGACTTGCCCGTAAGAGGGGAGAGCAGTGGGGGGCAGAGTCACTCTCCTGGAACACAGACCCATGTTGAGTGTCTCACAGAACACTCTGCCCAGCTGGAGAGAGGGTCTGTGTCTTCTCTTTTCCTGTAGTCCCTGGCTTGTGTGTTTCCCCTTGTAAAGCCTATTTCTTAACCCATGCCAGTGGAATTCATCCTGAGCCCGGGTCTGTAATGGAATAATTACAAAAGGACTCACCATGACCAAAAATTACAGAGGTCCTGATACTGAGATGCAAAAGCATTTTCATCTGTAGGTCCTTATAAAGATGCTAGGGCTGTGGCTGCGAGGCATATGGCTAAGAGCGTGGTCTTTGGCACAAACAGATCTGGATCAAATCCCAGTTCTTTCATATACTAGTGAAATGACATTGGGGCAGTTGTTCCCTCCAAGCCTCCGTTTACTCATCTGTAAATGGGGATTTTGTAAAGAGTGGTTGGGATAACTTACGTGTAGCTCAACAGTGCCTAACACGTGCTAGATAGGTAGATAGGTAGGTAGGTAGATAGATAGATAACTACTGTCGAATTGACTGGGACTCACGGTGACCTTACGTACAACAGAATGAAACACTGCCCCAACCTGTGTCACCCTTTTGATCTCTGGCAGGTTTGAGGCCATTGTTGTGGCTACTGTGCCAGTTCATCTCGCTGAGGGTCTCTCTTACCCTCATTGGCCCTCTACTTCACCAAACGTGATGTCTTCCTCTAGCAATTTATCCCTTTCTGGACGTGTCCAAACCAATTGAGTAGGACAGTGTTCTGTGGTGATCCATAGAGCCTTCATTGGCTAACTTTTGGAACTAGACCACTAGGCCTTTTTTACTCATCTGCCTTAGTCTGCAAGCTCTGTTGTAACCTGTCCACCATGGGTAACCCTCGTGGTATTTGAAATACTATTGGCATAACTTCCAGCATTGTAGCAACACCCAAGCCATAACAGTATGACAGACCAACAGATGAGTGCAGGTAACATATCATAAACTGAAAAACAAAACCCATTGCCATTAAGTTGATTCGGATTCATAGCGATCCTGTAGGACAGTGTAGAACCGCCCCATAAGGTTTCCAAGGCTGTAAATCT